GTTCTTCCCCCCCCCCCCACAAAGTTAGGCAAGATACTTACCTCAATTCAGCCAAATCAATTACTCAAATTAGCTTTTTCTTTACAAATTCACCTCTGCTCGGCTCAATCTAGCCAAATACGACTTAAATTCATCAAACAATGCATGAAAAAATAATTTCAATTAACAAAGATATGATCTTTATATAATTTCCAAACAGTCAATAAAAGTCAACCCCGGGCCCGCCCGGTCAAATTCCGGGTCCAAGGGTAGGTCTTGACTACCCATAGCCCCACGAGTCCATATATGTATTTTGTTTACAAATCCGAGTGCAATTCGACTCTCATTTCCCAAATTTTTATTTTTTCAAAACTTTGGCAAAATCCCCAAAATTTTCCTTAGATTCTCATGAATTTGATGTTAAATCTAATGTATAATCATAAAATATAATTGAAAGTTTATTAAATTACTTACCCAATACTTTGGTATGAAAACCCCTCCACAAAGTCGCCTCACATCGAGGCTAGGGTTCAAAATGAAGCTAAATCCCAAAATGCTTAGCTAAAAACCAGCTGCAGATCTCGCATTTGTGACATGGGGTTCGCAAATTCGGACAAAGCATCACAAAAGCGACCCCTGACAGACCATACGAAGATCGCATTTGCGATCATATCTTAGCAAATGTGAAGCAACAATAGCCGCAAAACCGAACAATGTCATCGCAAAAGCGAACAACCCAGAGTCGCGAATGCGACTCCGGTATCGCATTTGCGATTGAAGCCCAATCCTCCCCTAGTTCTCAAATGCGAGAAAGTACTCGCAAATGCGGTGGTCGCATTTGCGACCTACTCATCGCAATTGCGATGGCACCAGTACCAGCACAGACAATTTTTAACAAAACATTCCGAAGCTAATCTAAAACTCACCCGAGCCCCAGAGACTCTAAACCAAATGCCCACACCAGTACAAAAATATAACACGAATTTGCTCGCGTGGTCAAAACATCAAAATAATCTCTAGAAGCACGACTCGAACGCCAAAACGCATGAAAATCACAATGGACTTCAAAAACTTCTAGAATCGAAACCAAGCATCCGAACCATATCAAATCAACTCCAAATAACACCAAAATTTGCAGGCACGTTCCATATGATGAAACAGACCTATTCTAAGTCCCGAAATCAAAATTCTAATCCGATAGACTTAAATTCAAACCATGGTCAAACTTAGGAAAATGCTAAACCTTTAACTTGCCAACTTCCGCCAAATGATGTCAAAACCCTATAGAAATATCCAAATACATATTCGGGTATACACCCAAGTCCAAAATTACCATCCGACCCTACTGGAACCATCGAAACTCCGATTCGAGGTGAAATACTCTAAAGTCAAACCTTGGTTGATTCTTTCAACTTCGAGCTTCTCAAATGAGAGTCGCTCCTGAAACTCATTTCCGAACCACTCAAAATTCCGAGCCGATGATGCATGCAAGTCATAATACACTATGTGAAATTACTCCTGACCTCAAACTGCCTAACCGGATACAACTGCTCACAACGATTAGTCGAGCCGTTACATAAATTTATAAAATCCCATCTCCATTCATCGTCAGTTATTAGTACAAATTAGATTACAACCAGCATAAGGTTTTGTTATGGTTTCATTCCCATCTCAAGGTCTGTTATAGACATTTCTTAGTTTACAGCCCCATGACTGAGGCATTTGACATTGATTATCCCATGAAAAACTCCGTTTTTTCTTCTGTTTGGTATGTTGGTTCTGCCAATGGATTGATTTGTCTGGCCACAGAGAATAAATTTCCAACAAATTCAGAAGCTGATTTGTATATTTGGAACCCATCAATTAGGAAGTCGACGAAATTGAGTAAGTCAGGAATTACACCAAATGTGGCGTTTCTCTAATCACTTTAGATATGGTTGTGGATATGATGAGTTGCATGAAGATTATAAAGTGGATGTAATCAACGTCATTTGTGATTATCCTCAGTATAGTAAGATAAGGATTTACAGTCTGAAGAAGGATTGTTGGAGAACAGTAAAGGATTATCAGGGGTTTCTGATGGATTGTTCGGCCAAGTTTGTCAATGGAAAGCTTTATTGGTGCTCATCTGCAACTGAAAAGGTTGGTCAGTATAAGGACTGCAACATTATTTCTCTTGATTTAACATATGAGATATGGGGAAAGGTAGAGCAACCAAATTATGGACAACAATGCAAATTATTTAGTTTGAAGTTGGGAGTATTAAGAAGTAATCTTTTCGTCCTTTGTACTTATAATAAGGGAGCTCATTTCGATGTGTGGGTTATGAAGGAGGATTATTATGGAGTTAAAGCATCTTGGACAAAGATGTTGACCATCAATTATCCTTATGTGCATTATCAACCATTTTGTGTGTCAAATAAGGGTGAAATTTTACTCTTGTTTAAATTATTTTTCATGATATACAATCTAAAGGATGATTCAACAAGACAGCTATAGATTCCTGAAATTAAAGGTAGTTTTCAGGAAGAAACCTTTGTCGAAAGCCTTGTTAGTCCGTTAGTTTATAGCGACAATCATGTCATTGATAACATGTAAGAGTTATACGTTATCCATTTTCAACTAGTACATTTAACTAGTTCACCTTCTCTTTTTGCAGTTCTTTTTTACATATTTATAGGACATGACCCTTCATAAGAAGGTGTAGAGGACGATGATTGTATAATTACGTATTTTAGTCACTTATTGCACCCTAATTCATTGCACTTTACTTGTATTTGATGTTTAATTGATAGTGTTTTGCACTTATTGTGTGTTTTATGCCTTGTAGCTATGTAGATGTTGTGGAATGAATTCGAGTGATTTGGAGCTTTGAAGTCTGAGTAAACGCCCAATGGATCAAGCCAGGATCGTGTTCAGGGGTCGAAGATCAAGTCTGGACGTCAAAACTCGAAGTTTGGTCCGTACTCTGAGAATTCTCCAGTGTCGCGGCGTGTGGGGTGCCACGCTTGTGCAATCCTTTGCTTCCTGTCAGAAACTAGCTCTCAGGATTTCCTCACTAATGCTCTGCATGGCGCGTCGCCCCATGCGGCGCGCCTGTGCAATTTTTACAGAGTTATTTTCCTATTTCTGCTAGGAAAAGATGATTTCATCTGAGCCCGACCCTACTTGGTATAAATACATGAAAAAATATTATTTTCTGAATTTTTGACAGATATTCGACCTAAGGAGGCTAAAGTGGAGTTGGAAGAATACAAGCACAATGATTTCATTGTTCATTCCTTACTCAAGACCCGAGTTTGGATCGAATTTATGTATTCCTATACTTTAATTTTATTTGTGATAAATTATTCCATATATATGGAGTAGTTCCCCTTTAGGGTTTGATGGATTTGATGTATTGATGATTGTTTGTGGATTATAACTCTAGTTTTATGTATTGAAGCATTTTTGGATTGTTGCATTTATATTCACTTGTTCATGTAATCGAGAGAGGTATAACTTGTGATATCTTTGCATTATATTGTTTGTTGAGTTCATTAATTCTTTTTAGTAATCGAAAGAGGTTAGTTGAATTATTGTTTAAACCTAGTTAGGAGAATAATCGAAAGAGGTTTTCCTAAAGACCAATCCACTACGCAATCTTGCATATCTTCATGTGCTTAAATTGGTTCATCTTGTGAGGTTAAGACTTAATCGAGAGAGGAATTTTTGCTTAATGTTTGAACTAATAATTGAGTGAATTCGAGAGACTCATTTGAATATAAGAAGTGAATTATCTAGAGTTAGATCCCAACCAATTATCTTGCACCTATACTATCAACCCCTATTTTCTCCCATTGATAACTTCATTGCTTATCTTTGTTTCGATTGTCATTAGTCAATAGCTTTAGACTCTTAGTTAATTTTAGTTAGAAATCATATAAATCTCAAATGTTGATCATGTTGGATAGCAACCAAGCCAGAAATTACGAGAATATTATTTAAATCCAATTCATGTGGATACGATATTATACTATATTATATTTGATTAGCGAGCATAATTTAAGTATGTGTTTCGAGCTAGTCAAATTTTTGCGCCATTACCGAGGATTGACAATCAATAGTGTTTGAAATAATTTATAGTGGTAATTAAGGAATTTCTTTTTATTTCTATTTTCTCTTTTTACGTTTGGTGTTTTTTGGATGTGCGCATGTTACAGGTTAAGATTGGTGCATGACTCAAACTTCTGCGAAGGAAGTGCTACCATACGAGCCAGAAAGTGAAAAACTGCTGCGACAGCTGAGGAAAGAAATAAATCTCACCTAGATATCAAAAAAGGTTGGGCAATCCTCAAGAAAAGAACTTATGGCTAGAAATGGTGAAGATAATATATATTTGGTTGCGAGAGAAGTAGCCCAACAAAGAGAATAAGCTACACGGCATGCTGAGGAAGCAGCTACTAGAAATGCACAGATTATCTACGAAGAAGAGACGGGTCGAAGAATTGCTCAAAATCAACTTTTGGCTGCAGATTAGTTCGAAAATATAGCTCCCATGCCTAGGAGATCCTTGGGCGATTATGCTAGACCGGTATACAACCAAAGATTATCAAGTGTGAGACCACCTCCAATTGCAGCTAACAATTTTAAGTTGAAGAAAGCGTTGCTTTAAACCCTTTAGAACTGCCTTGTCTTCAGTGGGAAGCCAAACGAAGATTTAAATACACATCTAATGGACTTTGAGGAGATTATGAACACTTTTCAATACAATGGTGTGTCACAAGATGCAGTGTATTTAAGGGCATTCCCCTTTTCTCTTAAAGATGATGTAAAGGAGTGGCTTCGAAGCTTGCCCACGGGATCGATTAGAACATGGGAGGAGACGACCAGAAAATTCCTTGATAAATATTTCTCCTCAGCTAAAACGGGAAAGTTTAGAAGAGAAATTCATAACTTCTGCCAGAAAGAGACTGAAACTATTTTTGAAGCATGGGAGAGGTTTAAGGAGATTGTTAGAAAGTTTCAAAATAGTGGAATTGAACTCTGGATGCAACTCCAGGACTTTTGGAATGGATTGACACCGGCCTCACGTAGAACATTGAGCAATGCAGCTGGAGGCCCTTTGATGAAGAAGACTCCAGAGAAGATAGTCACAATTCTTGATGAGTTGTCTGAAGATGCAAATCAGTGGCCCTCTGAGAGTGTTGAAAGAAGAAGATCAACTGGTGTTCACCAAGTTAATGCTAATACATCTGTGATGGTACAGCTTGATGCTATGGCTAAAGAAATAAGGAAGCTGACCTTGGCTGCAATACAAAGTGAGCCGCATGCAGCACGTGATATATGCGGAAGAAGACACCCTACTCATGATGTCAAGCCTCAATTGAGGAAGTAAAAGCTGTGGAAAATTACAACTTTAATGCAATGGGTCAAAAGCACCCTGATTTTTCATGGAGTTCACCTGGGGGTACCGCAAATACATGGCAACAAAACAACCCCAGATTTCTGGGACAAAGAGCTCCTGGTTTTATGAATCAGCCAAGGCAGCAGTTTCAGCCTCAATAGCTCAATCAACATGGTCTAGAAGATCTCATGAAGGCCTTCATTGTGAAAACACATGAAATATTTGAACTACAAGGGACAACAATACGTAATTTAGAGAAGCAAGTGGGACATATTGAAACAATATTATCTGAGAGGGTTCATGGCACTCTTCCTGCTGATATTGAAAGAAATCCCAAAGAAACAGCGAATGTTATATCCTTGAAAAGTGGGAAAGTGTTGAAAGACCCCACCCCGATTCAAAAAGATGTGATACTTGAAAAAGAAAGTGGGGAGCAACTGAAGAATGATGTTGATAAAAATAAGAAGGGCCAAATGAAAGTTGAGAAAAAGAAGAAGGAAGAAAAATCGAGAAGGGAGGAACATGAGGAGAGCAAGCATATGCCGACGCTACCTTTCCCTCAAAAGCTATATAGAGAAAAGCTGGACAAGCAGTTTGAGAGATTTCTGGATATGCTGAAAAAGGTTCATGTAAACTTACCATTCATAGAAGTTCTCTCACAAATGCCTACTTACGCCAAATTTTGAAGGAGATCCTTACAAATAAGAGGAAGATAAAGGAGATCTCAGTGGTCAAGCTCACAGAGCATTGCAGTGTAATATTGTAAAATAAACTCCCACAAAAGTGTGGAGATCCAGGGAGTTTTACTATACCTTGCTCTTTAAGCTCTATTAAGTTTTGATAAGTCTTTATATGATTATGGTGCCTCAATTAATCTAATGCCTCTATCTATTTACAAGAAACTAGAGAAAGAGATCAGAGAGATAAGGTCTGCACTAATATCTTTGCAGCTGACAGACCAAACAACTCTGATACCCGAGGGGGATAGTGGAAGGTGTGTTAGTTCAGGTGGATAAGTTCATATTTCCTGTGGATTTTATAGTGCTGAAAATAGAGGAAAACAAGGAGGCCCCCCTCATCTTAGGAAGACCATTCTTAGCAATGGGCAGAGCGATATTAGATATACACGAGAGAAAACTCATGCTTAGAGTGGGTGAGGAAACTGTGATTTTCAAGATGGATGTAGAAAAGGAGGTGCAAAAAGGAAAACCAGCTGCAAGTGTTGAGTGGAAAGGGCTCAAAAGAGAAGGCTGCATTGAGCGAGAAAGACAAGTGTGGGGTGTACCCCAAAAAGGCTGAGAAGAAGCTATCTGCATGGATGTGTGCATTAGTTCAGGCGGGGGGAATGGAGCCACTACTAGAAATTCGGCAAAAACCGACCAAGGTCGACCGACCAACATTGGTCGGTCAAAAAACCGGCCAAAAAACCGACCAAAGTTGGTCGGTGTTTCAATTTTTTTTTTTTTTTTACGAAATCGACCAACTTTGATCGGTTTTCTTTGGTGCAAAAATGCGGGAAACTATTTTTGAGTCCCGCAAAATTTATATTTTAAGAAACCGACCAACTTTGATCGATTTTTCAATTAAAATAAATAAAAATTAATATTAAAAAAACCGACCAAAGTTAGTCGGTTAATTCGGCCGGTCATTTTAAAAAACCGACCAACTTTGGTCAGTAATTTTATTTTTTAATAAAACCGACAAACTTTGGTCAGTTATTTTCGTGCGAAAATACAATTAAAGAGTATAAATCAAATAAAAGACAGTCTTAAAACAAAATACACCAATGGTCAGACCTCGATTTGATTCCCAGATGGTGAATCTTTTGATTACATAATTAAAATACTGACCAATTTTGGTCGAAAAAAAACCGACCAAAGTTGGTCGGTTTTTTTTTGCAATATTTGTTTTTGAATTTAATTGACCGACCAAAGTTGGTCGGTAATTTGCGACCAACTTTAGTCGATATGGCTTTCCGACCCCTAAAATACCGCCCACACGTAAATGGTCGCGTTTTGGACGGTTATTAGCCATTACCGACCAAAGTTGGTCAGTTTTTACCAGATTTCTAGTAGTGAGCCTGACTTCGACTCAGACCCCGACTAGATATTCAGGGAAGTTTCCTCTATCTTGTGCTTTTTAATTGTGTGTCATGGGGACATGCCACAACTTAAAGTGTAGGGGTGGGGGATATGTTGTATGTATGTATGTATATTAGTTTTAGGTTTTTTTTTTGTTTTGTTAGTTTTAGTAGTTAGAGATAGAAAAAAAATAGAAAAAACATAAAAATTTTAAATTTTTTTGATTTTTCCGAACAATGGATATCATTCGACAGGTTTCTTGAGGGATTAAAGTCGAATGAAAAAGAAAAATTATAGGTAGTGTAATAATTTCTCCTTGGCTTTTCTTTGTACCGCGGTTCTTTTCCAAGGGTTTTGTTTGAACCGGGTGTAGTTAGTTTTTATTTTTTTTAGGAGAGGAAAATCTTGTGTTGTGGTTTGAATTGAAGGCAGTATCTTATGACTTTATTATACCTTGAGAATAGTGAGTGCTTTAGTTGTGACGCTTAGGCTTAGTTTTTGACTCGTGGATAAGTACCTTAAATTGTATGATCTTAACTTTGCTTAATTGCTTTGACTAGAGTGTCGTGATAGTCCTATCCTGAGTGAGTTATGTGTCATGTGTGTGTTAGGCGTTGTGTATTTTGTGCATTGCATTTGATGTCTAGAACTTGCCCCGTGTGTTTGCAAAGCGAAATAGTAGTTTATTCAGTCATGGAAATGATATAGGCATTTCTTTATTGAGCCAGTTATACGCTTTTACCCACCTAATTGTTATGTATCTTAGTTAACTCCTTTGAACCTATAATCATGTTTCTTTGGCAACCATATTACAAGCCTTACCCATTTATTTGAATTGACCATCTATTTAAACCTTGTACCTCTTGTGAGCACTTAAAATTTGTTATGAACTTTGTAAAAGTTGAAGTGTGGGGTGGTTGGTTTGGCTTTTGAGTGGAACTATTGAAATAAATAGAAAGGTGCATTTCTTAGAAAAAGAAAGATCCACTTGAATTGAAAAAGAAAGGAAAAAAAAAAAGTGTATGATTGTGAAAAATATTCTTTGATAGTGATGAATCTTGATGTAATTGTGCTTAAAGAAGTAGGGAGTTAATGTATATTGATGTGAAGGTGTAGTTGTGGTTTGGCATAAATGTGGGGTTTTGAATAGCTAATGGTATGTATTAAAATACTTAGGGAGGTGTACCCACTCTTATATCTAAATGTATCCTACTCATCCCGCAACCTACATTACAACCAATGAAAGTCCTACTTCATCCTTGATTGAATGAGCTCATTTAGTAGAGTAATACACTACGGGCAAGCCTATGGTATGTCTTTTGTGGCATATGAATGTTGTTTCTAAGAGTGAGTGAATTCTTTCTAGCTTGAGTTTCTGATTGTTCTTAAATTTTATTGTGTGTGGAACTACTCTTTATTGTTGTGTGAGGGCACCTGATTCATGAAGGAAAGGTAATGCTTGACCTCTGTGTTAGAGTAAGTGAGAGGCGATGATGTTACAGTATTGTGTTTAATCTGTTTTAAATATTTGTAGTGTGATGAGTTATGAGAGTTATTGAAAAAGGTCATGTTTATTTGAAGTGTAGTTTGATTGCTCGAGGACGAGCAATGGTTTAAGTGTGGGGTGTTGATGGTAGGCTATAATTGCATATTTTAGTCGCTTATTGCGCCCTAATTCACTGCACTTTATTTGTATTTGAGCTTTAATTGATAGTGTTTTGCACTTATTGTGTGTTTTATGCCTTGTAAGAGTGATTCCGAGCTATGTAGATGTTATGGAATGAATTTAAGTGATTTGGAACTTTGAAGTCTGAGTATAAGCCCAAATAATCAAGCAGGGATCGTGTTCAGGGGTCGAGGACCAAGTCCGGACGTCAAAAATTAAAGTTTGGTCCGTACTCTGAGAATTCCCCACTGCCATGACACGTGGGGCGGCGCGTGGGGTGCCACGCTTGTGCAATCCACTACTGCCTGTAAGAAATTAGCTCTCCTGATTTTTCCACTAATGCCTCAGATGGCGCGTCACCCCATGCGGCGCGCCTGTGCAATGTTTATAGAGTTATTTTCCTATTTCGGCTAGGAAAATGTGATTTCGTCTGGGCCCGACCCTACTCGGTATAAATACATGGAAAAACGTTATTTTCTGAACTTTTGACACATATTCGACCTAAGGAGGCTAAGGAGGAGTTGGAAGAACACGAGCACAAGGATTTCATCATTTCTTCCTCACTCAATACCCGAGATTGGGTCGAATTTATGTTTTCCTATACTTTAATTTTATTTGTGATGAATTACTCCACATCTATGGAGTAGTTCCCCTTTAGGGTTTGATGTATTTGGTGTATTAATGATTGTTTGTGGATTATTACTTTAATTTTATGTATTGAAGTTTTTTTGGATGATTTAGTTGTTGCATCTATATTCACTTGTTCATGTAATCGAGAGGGCCATAACTTGTGATATCTTTGCATTATATTGTTTGTTGAGTTCATTAATTCTTCTTACTACTCAAAAGAGGCTAGTTGAATTATTGATTAAACCTAGATAGGAGAATAATCAAAAGAAGTTTTCCTAAAGACCAATCCACTACATATTCTTGCATATCTTTACGTGCTTAAATTGGTTCATCTCGTGAGGTTAAGACTTAATCGAGAGAGGAGTTTTTGCTGAACATTTGAACTAATAATTGAAGAGACTCAGTTGAATACTAAAAGTGAATTATCTAGAGTTAGATTCCAACCAATTATCTTGCATCTATCCTATCAAATCCTATTTTCTCCAATTGATAACTTCCTTGCTTATCTTTGTTTCGATTGTCATTAGTCAATAGCTTTAGACTTTTAGTTAATTTTAGTTAGAAATCATATAGATCTCAATTGTTGATCATCTTGGATAGCAACCAAACTAGAA